TGAAAGCAAAACTGAAGTTAGTTGATTACGATAGCTCTAATACTTTTTGCTCGGTCTTTTTTCATTCCACTTCTACATTGAGTACCTCAAAGTTGAACATAACAGCAATGCGATGGTGTTCCAAGTTGTAGTATGTGCTGTACAGACAGGCCACTTCCTGCGATTTTGTAAAGTCCCCCGGAATGATGAAACAGCTTTGCAACATTTTTTTTTTCTTTCTGACAGCGACACAAGAACTTTTTTCAGTTACATTTGGGCTGCATGCAATTTTTTCCTTCCAACAAGCACTTGCACTTACAACCCCCCCCCCCGCCCTCAAGAGTTGAATGGTCGGCCCCTTAATAAATATTTTCATAAAAGATTCCAAACCGCACATTGTAACGTTTTCTTTGACAGCACAGCATTGTGAGAATTTTCTCCCCCTCAAAGGAAGTGGTTCGAAAAAAAAAAAAAAACGTTTCAGTCCATTGACACAACTTGATAGCGAGCAAGCTGGACAAGATGTGAGTATTTAAAAACATCCTTTTGACTATTATTATGAGCAAGGTGTGTTTCATGACAGAAAAGATCAATAAATACAACAAAAACCTGTTGTTTTGAAGGTTTGTTAATTTTTTCACTCAGCCGGTGATTTTTATTTTTGTCAAAATCTACTATCGATTTGGCAGTTTTCCGGAAAATACCAACAGCTGATTAAAAAAATGATTGTTATTTCTTTTGTTAAAAATTGAGATAAAGTTCCCTATCACCGGTAATAAAACTTAGTCGTTCTATCGTAGATCACACACAACAATAGCTTCCATCTACAGAGCGTGTGCGGCTTTATCTATGAGTACGTGCGTGAAAGGCAGTTCACCGTCAAAGCGTTCTTCAGAGAGGTTTATTGTCACCCTAACCGAAAAATAACTGAAACCAAAGCCTTCCAAAAATAAGAAGGCTTTCACCGTGCCATACGCCGGAGTAATTTTGAGTAACTTTACCTTCTTGACATTGGCTCGAAAATTGTGCTTCTCTTTGCTGGTCGGTGGGTAACACAAGTAAAGGTATTTCTTATATTATAGTAACACCCACTTTGTATACTCTATAATCAATTAAGAAAACGCTGGCAAGTTGATGGACTGATTTCCACGATTTTTCAACGAAATTATAAGTAAAAAATCCGATTTGTTCCATGTAGCCTCTATTTTAGATACAGTAAACTTCTGAACTCATCAATAGCAAGGTTTACCTCACGGGTGCATGTCGATCCTTGGACATTTTTTTGAAACTGTCACTTATTGATCCAAGAGAACTCAAAATGTTTGAATCTCTCTTTTAATGCTCAGCAACAGACGCTCGATTCAATTTGAATCTGATACAGAGCTGGGTTTTTGTAATTCATAAATGAAATAAATTCATGCTAACAGGCGTTGGTCATTTGGTTTAGCAAAGAAAAACCTTTGCTGCGCCTTGGACACAGGAAGACTAACATAACACTAAAGAAATGAAGCAAAAGAGTTGAAAACAACCTAAAAAAAGAATAATTCATAAAACGCGGGTGTTTCAGCGTCGTAGCTGGCAGCAGGGTTGAAACGGAGACCGTAGAGCAAATCAGATTGGTTGATTGAAAGAACGAAGCCAAATCTTTGCGCTTCAGCTACTCACCCCTCCCCACTCAGTCTCCATTTTTTACCAGACTAGATACTAGGAAACTTGCTACTCTTATTTGCTGCAAACGATCAATTTTCCTTAGAATCCTTCACTAATCATTTTTGTAAGTATTTTGCAACAGCTTGTACTGTATATAGTGTTCGCCAAGTGCTTTGCGGCGCCTCAATGACCAAATGATCACAAATCGTAAAATGAAAGCACACACCTATCAGTCATAAAGTTCACCATGATATCAGAGCGTTGTTTCAAAGCTTAATAGAATTATTCTGAAAGAAACAACTTCCACGCAGAGATGTGGGGAGATTCAGTTTCCACAGTCCCACACGATAAACATTCATTAAACTGAGTGGGCGTCCTTCCAGGACCGTTCAAATTTCCATCAATCTTACTGTGCTTCATTCACAGAGATTACTTTTCTTCTAAAATTATAGCCAAATTGCTAAGGAGTTCGTGCGGGCAGATTCCCAAGATAGAAAGCAAAGAGAAAGCCAGAAGACTTGTATTCAAGGAAATCCACTAGAGTGTACAGTAAAATGACAACACTTTCTCGAAAACTAATATTGTAGAATTAATGTAGTACATAAGCCACTGTCCTAGATCCAATATCCCTGCAGATTACGGGCCGACAACAAATCAAATAAAAGACGTAACATGTCAGAACATTGAAAAAGTATAATAAAGTTAGTCTTTTAAATATTTCCCTTATAAATTTTTGATACGGAAATCGCTTTATTACAGCGGTGTATTGCTAAATCCAATTGCAATTAAAGTCCATGAAAGCAAAATGTGTGAAAATATAGAAATGTTTCTGTTTCCAAGGTAAGCAAATACGAATTAAGCAAATAATCTGTTTTAATGAAGAAGCACTGAGCAAATGTCTCCGTAAACTTCATTCGTCTGCAAATGATTTAAAAACATGTATGAAGAACGTTTCCTCGAAAACACGCTAAGCAAGTTCAACAGGCTAAACTCGCCTTACAGTCGGAACTGAATAGACAAGTTTAACAGATTGACAGCCTCGGAAATAATTTATTCACTAGTTACTGCCTCAAAGAAGTTGAAAATTTGTCTACGTTCGTTTATCACATATCCTCTTGGAACTTTATTAGTTAGCTTTCTGAAAGCGACCAAGGGGAAAAAACTGCTTTTATCATGTAGTTTATTTGCAAAATGTAATATTCAGTTACTGAGTTTTCCTCATTAACAAGAGAAATTAAAGGGACATTTTCCCTCGCACGTTTTTTCTTATTTTTTTCATTATGAAGGGATATTATTGAAAACGAGAAACGTGTTCTTAACTTATTCGTTATTCCGAACAAAGTTTCATTGTAGTTAAATTTTAACGTTGTCCAATGATTAATAAACTTGGATCGGCCGACATTGTATTTGAATTTTTTTAACTCATAATAAGTGGATATGTCATCCTTTCATCTCCGGCGATCGATCGATATCCAGCGTTTGCTTAATATATTGTTTTGTGGATGCCGCCAAAAGGTCCCTGCTGTTTCCAATATACCCCTTTGGCTCAAATTTAATTTGAAGCGATTTACTGTTGTACATAAAACTTAGCATGGAACCAAAACAGCTTTCAGGGAAAGAATTCTTAATTCTAACGAGGGACTGTTTACACTTTATGAAAATTAATTGGGTATCCTCCCATCTCAGTTAAAACAACAAATGCAGAGAAAGAAAATTCCGCCAATTGATCGTTTCTGTGATATCTCGCAATCCATTTTAATCGGTGTAATGATAAAAAAATATTAACATCAGAGTGAAATATGTTGCAGACATTGATCGCATGAAGTTCTATTTAAAGAAATATATATGTGTGGATAAATCATCCTTTTTTAAAGTTTTATCGCCTAAAAATCTCTGCAATTGCAAGCGACAGTTTCACTTCCTGGCATTAATATTACCATGTCTCCCGCAGATGATTTATAACATGAGGCCACGATCGTTACGAGCGACACGCGAGCCATTCAACTTCATAACATAATGTTTGCAAACGACCAATGTGCAATCATTAAAGGTGTGGTAAATGTCACTTTAGCTGCTGAAGTTTTCAGACTTTTAATTAATCTTAGGATAAGTTGATGCTTGAATTTCTTCCAATTCCTGAGTTATGGATGACAAGTGAGTAGAGATGCAATCTTTCTAAAGTTGCAAAACGCAAATAAAGGCCACTGTTAATGAAACGTCCCAGCTTGATATTCACAGTGACGTGGGAATATTTGAATAATGATCGTATACCTGATCATTCACGCATTTTCTTTTTTTCCAATGTACCGTTGTGTCATTCTATCGAAGAAAACTCGTAAACAATTCATTGTTTGTCTCATGATTCTGCAGAATCGCAATTTTCGCCTGTCCAGTTTTCGAGAAAGCCAGACTTCGTCGAGGTCTGTGATTAAGTTAATTCATGTTGCCTTTTGTGGAGTGTTTTATTGCAGCTTATGAAAACATCGGAAAGAGTTGTGGAAATGCTGACAATTTATCTGATAGGTAAAAAGTGATATCCTTATTGTTAAGATTTTTATGTATTCATCATTCGTTTGGACATTCGCCAGGATAATAACAAAACCGAAACTTTCTTCTAGTGTTTCCATATTTACACAACAAAAGAAAATTAATTCTATGATTTTAGATTGTAATCCGCGAGAATAAAACTCAGTAATGGCGATTTGGAAACGAAGTCAATGAGTTTAATATTCGTGGCTCAGCCTCTTGTATGCGTTTTTATTTCTAGAGGGAACGCAAATTTTTCAGGACATCTTTTGTAGACAGACTTGCGCCGAGCCTTGAGAAATCTACACGTATATTTCTACTTAGAATTCAGTCGCTCGTTCTCTCGAAACAAAAAAAAGAAAAAGAAAAAAACATTTGTCACTCTGGTTTGAGTATGACTATCAAAAGGATCGACTAACGTTCAAATTTTAAAAGCCTTGTGTCATTTAATATTCACAGTCTCAAAACATTCTTCCAAATTTGCTTATCGGGTGACAAGCTATTTCCTTGGGTGTTTGCAAACAACAGCAAACAAATAAAAAGTTTCTTTCAAAATTTATCAATTTCCTTGCAAGCTTCTTTGCCAATAACTACCCCTATAGATCGGCCTAAATTTTTCGTATCTAAGCGATTAGCTTTTAAATAATAATAATTCGTAATGAAGCTCAGTTCATTCTATTAGTAAGTCGGGTTGATCAGTTTTATGCGAAAAGTAAATTTAAATAAATTCACACCTGTGGGTAGAAAACATTGACAGGAAAATAAGTTCACTTCAATAAATTACAAGTCTAGTTTTGTATAGTCAAAAAAACGACAATCACTCTTTTTATTATTAGTAATTTCTGCTCAAACTGTTCGGCCTTTTTATGTCATAATATACTCAAGAGATGAGGATCAATTTCCAAGAGTAAATTAAGCTGCTTTCGAAACCTGTTAACATCTGATATACCGGTTTAGGAACCTTCTAGGAAAAGTTGTGATCCTTTTTGGTACAGAACCTGATTAAATTTCGAAGTTAAAGGTTCCGTGACACTCTGTCATAAAGCTCATTGTCGACTTGGATGAAATCTCTAATTCTGCTTTTATCCTGAAAGCGAGCTCCAACCAATTTGTTTATTCAGCTAAATGCGAATGAATATTGCATAATGTCCGGTGTTCATTTGAGAGAGTTGCTAGGGTCGTAACACCTGTAACTTGCCTTAGGACTTCAATACCTGAGTTTGGACGTCATTCATCGTCAATTAGAGCACAGTGTCTCTGCACCTTATGCCGAGCAGGTATTAAAGTAAAGATAAAAAGATAAAATTTACTGCGCTAAATGGTTTTTATTTTGGGTTCCCACTGTTATCTGAGGCTGCTCCTACCACGCATTGACAACTTAGGTCGAATTGAATTGATCAAACGCCTCAAATGGGCGCTCTGTGGTATGAAAGTCCAAAGATTAGTCAAGATGTGGGAGGCATTAAAATTGAGAAGTACTCCTTGACAAACAAACAAACACTGCTGGAGTGTCTGTTACCACTGGGGCACCAAAGATTCTTGGGAATGCTTGATTATGAGCTTCTATAAACAAAAACTATTTTGAATTAAAATTGCATTTCGAAACCGTATTCACTCGATGCGGCTCTCTCGGCCACAATCAGTGAGGGAAGTTTTAGTGCAGAGAAATCGCGCTTGTAACGTCTTGGAACGAAGAAAAGGTTAGATTCACGAGGCAAACATATCGTTTCCACTATCAATTATCATTTCACACAGTGGTGACCTTCCGTCGTGAAGGTACAGCGATAGCGGTTCCGTTTTGTACATACTAAAAAAGGGAAGATATTTTGAAATCGAAAATTTCTGAAGGGCGGACGCCGTGAACTTGATCGGTTTCCTGCAATGACAATGTGCTCTTGACGAGGGGCTGAAACTGTTCACAAGATGAATAATTCGACCACGACGAACGTTTCTGACACCGAAACTGGATCAAAAATACCCCTTGGTTACCACATTGTGGCCTATATGGTGCTTGTACTGGGATTCTCTGCCAATTCCTTCATTTGTTTCTCCTTCGCCTATTTCAGACGAGTACGATCTTTGAATAACTATTTTGTCGTGAACCTGGCTGTTATTGACATTTTATTCCTAGTTCTCCTCTGTTTCCAGTTAGCGGCGCCGGCGCTGAAAAAAAAAATGTTACTTAAAGATTTTTCTTACTTAGTGGAGGCTTTGATCATCATAGAAACATTCTGCTACTCGGCATGCGTGGCCGCGGTGACGATCATAAGCTATGATCGGTACTATGCCGTCACTAAACCTCTCCACTACACCACCAGCATTACCCACACTAAAGCTATAATTTTTATTGGTAGTAATTGGACCTATGCAACAGTGATGGCATTACTACAATTCCTTATTTATCTTCCCAATGAGAATTATTTTAAATATGGTTACCTTTCTTTAATGGGACTTACCAATGCATTGATTCCTCTGATTGTCGTACTATATTGCTATGTGAAGATCTTCATTATCGCTTCACGACACTTACGACATAATCCGCACCGTGGACGAGACCGGAACGGCGAGGCAAGTGTGTTCTCAAAGAACCTGAGGATAGCATTTCATATCCTTGTTTTGGTAGCCCCTATTCTACTTTTCTGGAGCGCTTTCTGCGCTGTAACTATAACAGAGTTTCACTGCTCAGATTGTATCCGCGATTTTAGTACTCTGGGTATAATAATGAGTATGGGTCCAAATGTGACAGCTTCAGTCGATCCGATTATTTATATTTTCCTGACCAAAGATTTCCGAGAGATCATTTGTGGCTGGTTTAGACTCCACAGTCCTTTCCCCGTAAGCGAGACTTTTCACCTTTCAACGACAAAGTCAACAAACCATCAGGTTTTGCCGGCGTCAGAAAGACTGGTCAGCGAAAGCGGCGATTCTTTAGCGGGTTCTTATCGTCATTATTAAACATTTTTGCTACCCTTGTGGTTTGGCAAGGTTTGATAGAAAGCGCGGGAAGGCTTTGATCAGCGTGACGTGAAACGAAAATGCTGAGACAAATAAGGAAGCGAGAGTTTGAATATTAGAAAACGAAATATCATGTAACTTTGACCTCGTAAATAACAGAAGAACAACATGCAAAGGAATATTGAAAAATTTACAAAACAGACTAAAGAACTCGACGGATTTGGCTTCTACATCTACATAACAAAATTGAAACTAAAGCGGACCAGATAACGAAAATCTACTGATAATTCCAGTTTGCTGAATTTTTTTCTTATTTATTAGATGATGTCATATCTGATAAAAATATATACATATAGACGGCCCTAAATTAAAAAAAGAAAAGAAAGGAATCTAAAACGGCCATTAAAAGAAAAAAGCGGTCTAGTTTTGAAGATATCGCGAGCAGTTGTTGCTAAGGACTTTGTCCTTGACAGTTTAGAATTAGCGGACAGACGACAGTTAGAACATTCTTTTTAAACCGTCCAGCAGTTTAAGTTTAATGATCGTTTCCACAGAAAAATTTATTAGTATGCTTGCAATTTCCAAAGCACTTACAGAGGAAAATCATTTTAAACAGACTACCGGCAGCTCTGATGAACGTCCTCCATCTTGAATGAGGCTTTGTCCAAATGTTTTTGGATCTGTTTGACATAACAGCTATTATAAATTACGAAGGATTGATCGACGTGTTAGGTGAAAAATTTCCTAGACAAACACACAAAAAGATCATATTTTAATGTATAAAATGCAAATATCTACCAAAAGAGACACTGTTGTTTTTCTTTTTCTCTTTCAATTTCAATCGCGCGATGGGAACAAAATTGTTTTGGTATTGTATGTACATACACTGATATCCGTGGAACCCAATGATATTAAAATCTTGATTACTAGAGACTGAAAATGCGGCCTTCATTGGACTGACTCTGATGGCAGGTGTATGTAATGTCGCTCTTCTTCTCTTCACCAATTTGCAATTAATTTCTACTTGGCAGGGACACACGTCAGGAACTGGAGAAGCTTGGAAAAAGCTTTACACGTAGTTTTAGATGATCATTGTATTTATTTACTGAAGGTACACAAGTACTCCCTTTTGAGTAAATCCTTCTAGTTGAAAGAAAAATTTTGGGAACTCTTACAAAGAAAAGCTAAGTTCCGAGAAGTCTAAAAGTAGATTTGAAGCAATTTGGATGATAAATGAATGATTTATGTCTTCAGTTCATTAAAAGAAAACGTACGGCGCAACAGTCCTTCTATAAACGACCAACGGAAGAGGAAATCAAAGAGAGAATTAACAACTACAGAGTTGCATGCAAGTTTGACTGCACCAATATTTTAACTGTTTTATTTCAAACAACGAGAAAATAGTTTAAAGCTGATTTGGATCAATATCGTAAAACTCACCTCGTTAGAAAGTGGAGAATTTTAAATCCGAATTAAAGAAATAACATTCATAATTCATAGTATAAAGAATTAAATCGACTTAAAAGGTTTTAAAATCAAATCAATTTTTAAAACTCCGTAATGTTTAGGATGATGAAACCGTATATTGACAGAAGTTTGCAAAGATTAGTCCTTTCTATTATGTATAATGTTATGTCTGTAAAGCAATAAAGACAAAATGACAGATTACAATGAATGATATGGACAAGCCGTCTCAATTCATTTGTACGCGAGTTATTTACTTCGTAAAGCGTTCGTAATTCCTTCGTGATTCCTTTCGTAGAAGTTTATTATCCAGATAATCATTAAAAAAGTGAACCCTCAAACAGCCGAAACGATAAAAAACCGGCTTCGCTTGCGATAAAAACTTCAAATCAGTCTTTAATATGCAAAGTTCTGGAGTTAAAACAAGTCACTACAATATGGCTGTTTCTGTTGTTGTTGTTTCTCGATTAAAAAAATCCAGCCAATAGTCACTGCGAAATAGAGAACATACGATTGATTTAGCTTTCGTGAGATGAAAAATTTAGAATCAGGCGCTAAATTTTTTAATATATGGTGAATGATTTGATAAAAAAATTCGGGCGAGTTTATTGATAATTTTTTTGACCAAAGCGAGAATCTTAGTTGCTTGTTTTTCGGGCCCTTGAAGATTTATTATTATCAAACGGCACACATTATTTCTCAACATTTTATGGCCGATAAGAGACCTTTCATCAGATGCAAAATTTTACGAAAAGCTTTGAGTGTGTTACGTAAACCTTATCTATGAAAGTTGCGAAGTGTCTGCAAAGATGCGGGACTGACTTCAAGCAAGCCCCAACTTTAATGTAGTCATAATTATTCAGCTTTGCTTTTTAAGTCTTCATGACATCTGCGTAATTATAAAAACAATCTGCTAGACAGTTTGTAATTTATTTTTTAACTTCAATGTGATTTGAATAAATGGCTCAGTAAGTTCCTTTTAGTGCTAAGAAACTAAAAAACTAAACTTTAAGTTTAGCGATGCCGGAACTTTCTTCTTTCGAAAGTCAAGTAGAGCAAAAAAATTGATTGAGGTTCTTGGGAAGGATAACAATCTTGTCATGAGAATACTGAAAAAAAAAAAGAAAACAAACAAATGCTAATGTTTTCACGAGCTCTGATATCACTTGAACTACTTCAACGATCTCCTTGAAAGGGCACCTCGGATGGATCTGTTTTGGACTTTTATCAATTCATCGTAAAGCGATATGTTGTGTTAGAGATGTCACGTAATTTACGCTGCGCATTTTTCTCTGAAACATCCAACCTCTGTTTTTATGGCAAACCTCTGTGAAGGAAGAAATCTAAATTGAGGAAAAGGAGATAAACGTTTCGGAGCTCGGCGTAATCACAAATTTGTCCTACTGGATGATTCTCACTTTAGTAATCTGAGGCCAAAGTCCTGGTGAATTTTGAAGATAGTGTTGCTGATTAACAGTTGATAGTCAAGACCGCAGACAGACTGCATCTTTCAAGTTGACCAGTTTCTTCAAAGTTTTTGATCAGCGGTTTTCCCTTAGCTGGACACGTCCACAATTCTTGCGGGTCTTGTCTTGTGTCTCGAGCTGACTGATTTCCTTGACTGATTTAACCTACGTATCATGAAAAGCGGATCAGCTTTGATAGTAATGAGCTTTGTTAAACGATCCAAAAATGACTGTAAATGACCATTTAACTTGGGGGTAAAGAATTAAGAAGGAAACAGCTCTAAAATATAGACAGGATATTTCGTTTGAAATTTCTGATCACCTCACCATGCGGTAGATTTAAACCATCTACAAGACTAGAGGAGATACAAAGTCTCCCCATGGGGGTGATACTGGTAGAATTCTTTTGATACAAATAGTTACGTACCATGGGATGGACGGTGGATGCAGCTTTTGCCTTCGTAGAGCAAAAGCTGTGACTCGCAAGTCTGATATCGCTACTGTTTTCTTTTACACTACCTTAAAATGGCAAAATGAATTTTTCATAAGAGGCTCACTATGCGAGACGCGGAATAAGTTACTGTAGTACTAATGACTTGATTACTTTTTAAACTGTCGGCCTATCATTGGTCCGAAGTGCTCAAGTAACTCGCTCCAGATTCGAAGGCCAATAAATTCAACAAAAGTCGACCAATCTCCCTAAAAATGCCACCAGCGAGAGTGAACAGCAAATACTTATTCATGTAAGAAGCAAAAGTTTCCAAATTTCGTTGCATTGGCCCGAGACTGAGGCGTTCAGAAATGAATTCTAACTGCAAAGGCTTATTCAATCAATCAACAACTTTATTTAAGTGTCTAATCTTCTAGCTTGCCCTCAGGCCTACTAATCGGGGACACTTCTCAAATTACTTATTAATGATAAATATATATATCTTATTAACCAAGCGCGAGGGCCGTATTGCGAGAATATCGGCCCGAGTTCTCGACAGTACGGACCGAGCGCAGCGAGGTCCGTACAAAAAAGACCGAGGGCCGATATTCTTCCAGTACGGTCCCGAGCAAGCTTGGTTAATAAGAGATTTATTATACGACTGAAGTTCAAAGGGACACAAGTGCGGTATCATTCGGGACCATTCGGGACAGTGCCCGGTCCAATACTTAGAGAATATTGGACCGGCAATAGAGCATTCTGATTGGTTGATTTTAGTTATTGGCCCTCTGACTGCCCGAGTCATGTAATAAATATTAATAATACTATAAGATAATAAGATTTAACTATTCAAGACTTCTTCAAATATATACAATAGTCAATATACTTAAAAATACACATATGCAATAAAAACTAAGTATACAATTTTATAATACATCAACTCTACTAGTTATAATATTTTCTGTTCATGAATTATAAGTTACACAGGTGGCACCTTTTGCATGCGTTTTCACCAACCGATTCGCTCAGATCTTTTTTCCTTATATTTGCTTTGAACCTTCTTAAGGAGGTCTCGTTCCTGTCCTTCATGCTCAATTTTGACCATAAAAATGGCCCAAAAAATCTGAGGGAATGCTTTCCGTATTTGACAGTTTTTACCCTTTGAACATCAAAGTCCGAGTTCCTCAAGTTGTAGTTCGAAGGCGATGGCGAGAAGAGTTCTAGTATATTGTAAAGCAGTAATCTATTCCTAATTTTGAACATAAAGATAGCGATATCTTGTAATCTCATATTATATAGACTAGTCATTATTTCAGAGAAGCTTACACAAAAACCTTTTGAGTGCTACGTTTACTGAGCGACACTTGAGTCACGATTACACTCAGTCCAGTATAGCGGTGGAAGGAATAGTTAAAACAGAGGTTAAGCACCGCGTTTACGTGAAATGGCAAACGTCCGGCTTGTCCTTTCACGTTTCACGTAAAATAGCGTGACCCTTGCTGCTTTAGCTTCGCGTGAGCTCACGTGGTGTTGGATTTGAAGACGCCCCTCTATGACTTACAAGGAATAGTTTTTGGTGCCCTTTTTCCGGCAATTAACTTCTACTCTGTGTGAGAAAAAGTGAAGAAAGTCTTACGCGCACGGAAAACGCGAAACAGGTCACGTGGTCAGTCTTTCCGTTCACGTTTCACGTGAACACGGTGTTAGACCTCTCTAAACTGTTGATGGTAAATATATTGATACGTTAAACGACTATAGATTGAAAGAGCGTAGAGACTGCTGACTACATCAAAAGTTGGATAACAATGGTTAAAGCATGGTTGAGTTTTTCCCGGAATGTTTTTACATGGCAAATAATTATGATAGTCAGATTATCATTCAAAATTAACAATATGATGGTTTGTCTGATCAAATCTGGTTTAAGTACATTGATAAGGTTGAACTTGAATTCAGTCATCAATATCCGCACTGTCTGATGAAGTTTCTTCTCTGAATTAACAACTGATTCATGCACATCTACCTGAATAACTTTGAATAAATCAATGCAGCACAACACAACATACTACTTTATTCAGAAAGGATAGCACGTAACAGTTAACAACGTATTGTATTGTATTGTATTGTAATCTTTATTTAGACACGATCAATTCATCAGCCTATAAAAATACATATCACATACGCTAAGATATTTAAAATTAAAACTACATACTATAACACTAAAGCTGTTTTCCGTGAATGCCGTGCGTTAGACTTAAAAAATGTCATTGATCTTACGTTTAAATAACCCCAGAGACTCTGTGTTCCTTATATCGCGTGGTAAACTGTTCCATAATGTGGCGCCATTGTAGCTAAAGCTTTTTCTGTAATAATTAGTGCGCGGTAGTGGAACATTAAGCTTATTTTCAGAGTCCCTGAGGTCATAAGCAGAGTCACGCCACGTAAACTTTGAATATAGATACCTTGGAGCTAGCCCGTGCAGACATCTAAACATCATGGTGGCTTTATGGATTTCCTGCTGGCGTGCAAGATTTTTCCACCCTAAAAACTCGAGTAGCTCAGTTGCATCAGCATCATAGTTAGAGAATGTCAACACACGGGCTGCTCTATTCTGCAATTTCTGCAGTTTGTCTCGTAGCGTTTTCCCACAGCTACCCCAAACAATGTCACAGTAATCAAAGTGAGGTTTTACTAAAGCTTGGTAGATGAGATGTAAGGTTGATGCTGGGATCAGGTGCCTAATTCGCTTTAGGGCCCCGATACCAGAGGCGATCTTTTTCGTTAGTTTTTCGATGTGACTATGCCAATCGAGTTTATCGTCTATTATTACACCAAGCGATTTTGTAGCTGAAACCTGGCTCACTTGAGTATTGTTCATTCTAATTGTTGGTGAAGCTGTGAGAGTATTCAGTCTCTGCCTCGACCCTATTAGCATGAATTCGGTTTTAGTCATGTTCAACGTGAGTTTGTTCGCTTGTAGCCAGTTGAAGACGTTTTCTAGGTCTTCATTCTGGTGATCATTCAGGTGATCATTCAGGTGATCATTCTGAGACCCTCTAAAAGTGAATAATAACAGTATAACACTTATACATACACCTTGTTCTATGATTTATCTTGCGGGTTGCGTAGTATTTTTCCAAGCTCCAAAAGGGGTGTGAAAAATACGAGCAATTAGCAAAATGTTCGCTCGTATTATATGTTAAACCATCGAATAATGGATTAATTATTCGACTATTGTGTCATTTTTTCGTATTTTTATTTTTGTTGACGTGATACATCCTCCTCCCTTATCTGAACATCGAGTCAATCGTATAAGGAGCTCCGAAAGACTGCAACAAATGGAACGAAACCATTAAAGTGTTCTTTATGACCAACAAGAAATTAAATCTGTTGCTCTTAAAGGGTAAATTTTTTTATTAATTTTCCTTCAACGGTCCCACACACGTCAAGTATAATCAATCCATTTAGTAGCTTCCCCTCTATTAACCAGCCAATGAGAGCTTGGAAACAGTCAGTAATCGCTTTATTTCATAATGCAAAGACCTTTCACCTTTTTCTGACTTCGCTGAGTTGAAAGGCTTACTTGGTCAATCGCGCACTCAAATCATGTTCACCAGAAAAAAATGATCGATATTCAGTAGTTTAGTTAGTTTAGTTCACTTTAGTCATTTTTCCTGCATTAACCTCAGTGGGGAAGGACCAGAACAGGAACATGCGTCCCTTTCGAGCTAGTCCACCCAAATTATAACCCACCCATACCACCCCAGGGGAGGACATCCATCACACAGTAATCTCGTGCGTGGGAAAGGAGCGTCTCTTGTAGTCAGCCGGTACGTTTTATTTACATGATCAGTGATAACAATGTGTCTAAAATGTGTCCTATTTCATAATATTTTTGGTGACAAGTTTGATATGACAACGTTATTATGAACATGGTTGGTACTTCTTTCAAAAACTTATTCTGAACCTTGTCCGTTCGTCTTCCTCCTTGATTGCTTTGTTTTCCATCAAGCATCTTAGTTTCTTTATAAATTTTTACCTGTCTCATGGAAACACTTTTTCAAGTTTTCTTAAATTTGCAGTTAGTACATAATGCACATTGTTATTTAGGTTAATATGGCTCCTTAGTGTTACACGCTTTTGTTCTTCATTGTCACGATGACAGAAGTTATAAGCGTGAATCCTTTACCTTAACCGAGACCTTATCCTTTTTGTTACGTAATATTTGATCCTCGTTCGCTGTAGTGCTCCAAGAGTATAATACCCTTGGGGGACGTGGCTTCAAGAGTATAATACCCTTGGGGGACGTAGCTCCAAGAGTATAATACCCCCGGATTTTTCAACGTGTGAATGGCTTGGGGGGGGGCATGGATCCTATACTTCTCCTCACTGACCTTCGCGACGAGATCGGTCGCTTTATTTTTGTTATGAATCATAATAAAGAAGAGGTCACAAGCAATGTGGGAACTGCACCATTTGCTCCCTCCTATAGTGAGTGTTAACATAAAATTTGTGGTGGTGAAATTAATTTTATTCTAATCTCTCTTATCTCGGAATCTTAAGGGACAAAGATCAAGAAGATTCTACTATGGCTACCCCAACGAAAGCCATAATCACTAGTACCGACCAATCACCAACTCCCACTGTCAGCAGAGAAGTTGTCATAGTAACGTCTGTCCTTATTTTCACCCTTGGGGTTATTGGGAATGGCTTCATCTGCTTAGGATTCTGTCGTTTCCGTCAGCTGCGCTCCCTTACCAACTATTTCGTGCTGAACCTTGCCGTTGCAGATCTTCTGTTAGTGGCAGCCCTTGCAGGGTGGATTATACACGATATTCGTGGGAACCCACCCGATGAAAAAATTCTGATCTCACTTCTCATCAATATTGACGTGTTGTGCTTCTCGGCATCGATGCTTAACATGATGGCGATCAGCTTGGACAGGTATTGCGCAGTTACCTATCCTCTCCAATACCCACACATCATCACAGAGTCACGTGCCCACATCGCGACTTTCCTTATTTGGGCGTACTCTTTAGCCATGGCGGGTATTGGTGTGAGTCGATTTTTCACGGACGCAATGGAAAATTCTGACAAGATTTTCGTGACAGTATTAAGTACCGTCAATTTTTTGATCCCGGCTGTAGTGATGGTTCTCACACATTTAAGCATCCTCAGAATTGCTTGGAATGCTAAGCATAGGTCAATGGTGGATCTTGGCGGAATTGAAGGGGTGCATAACATGATGGAGTTGATCTCGAGCCTGAAGCTCTCCTTTAATACATTCGTCATCTTGGTCCCCATGGTAACCGCGTGGGGCATTTTTTACGGAGTAACGGTGTTAGAGACACTCTGGCCAATCCACATTCAGCTTTCTGCGGGGTTTTCTATCACTGTTGGTCTTCTGCCACATATAGCAGCTGCTGTCGATCCCATTGTTTACATACTTGTGACATGTGACTTGCGCAGGAAATTATGTCATTTTTAGAAGAAAAACTGAAACAACAATGCGCAATCCTGTCATTTTACTATAAGGAAACATATTTTTCTGCATTACTGATTTGCGAAGATGCGTGACAGTAATGGGCTGTAAATGAATTTCAGTAGGTGTAAGCTTGCGTGTGTACGTGCAGATGGATACATGAAGCTTCATATTAGTGTGTTAATTGTACCATATTAGACGTTTAGATGTGTAGAATCGCTCAGTATTTTGACGAGTTGTGCCGCACTTTGACGAGCCTGCAAGGCAAGTTAAAATACAAACAAAAAGAAAACATTGGCATGCTACGCATGCAGGAGTTATTTTTTTAGATATGTGGGTTGAAATGGGACACTTAGTAACTGATGTTGATATCTGAATAGTTGTTGGCAATAATAACCTGCATTGACACCACGCTTCCTGCAGTCCCCTCCAAAGCCCTAATTTGAACTCGTCATGTAACGCTCTCTCTCCAAATTTGCGTGACGAGACCAAACAACGACCTGCTCGGAGGCTATAATAATGCTTACGGCCGCCTCTTTGTCAGAGACAAATGTAATTATTATTCTGGCCGTAAAGGGCCACCATCAGTAATTCCGTTTGGTTTTACCTGTGCAGAAAAGTGCATAATAGGCGTTACGTAGCACTTTTTAATTGACGTAAAGCAATGTGATAGACATAGCCTAGGAACGAGGTTGAGTTTTGGCGTCGAGTGACAGCACAGGTCACCCAGGCTCACCGTTTGTCAGTGTCACGTACACATGGTTAAATAGAGAGAACGTATGGGGCGAAGTTTAGGTCTGGAAATTTGCTTGACAATGGAAATAAAAATGAATGAAACTTACCATGTGGCGATTTGTTGTTGTCCTTAATATGTACACGAAGTTTCGGGAAAAATACTCTTCTTCACCTTTCCTTCATAGTAGAGAGACAAGG